TTCGTAAAAAAGACTTTGCGAGAGCACAACTTGAGAAATGAGAACTTAAGAAACACACAATATTTATTCGTCAGGATTAGGTCTATAAACCTAGCAGTCCCAAGGTGGAAAAAAACTTCGGGAACTATATAATAATTAGGTGCTTTTTAGGTGCTAATTAGGGCCTCTAATTAAAAATTAGGTGCTCCTTTAGTTTTTGAGAAAATCAAAAAAAACTAAGGGACTGCTAGGTTTATAAAAGCTAGCAGCCCCCTATAGTAAAAAATATTTTTTTCAAATTTCTTCTTTGTATCAGAATTAGGTGCTTTTTAGGTGCTCCCACTTTTACTTGGTGATGTGTCAGAATAGAAAAAATTTGTGGTCTATATAATAATAATAATTAGGGGCTTTTTAGGTGCTAATTAGGGCTACTAATTACAAATTAGGTGCTCCTTTAGTTTTTGAGATAATAAAAAAAAAAACAAAGGGACTGCTAGGTTAATGGAAACTAGCAGTCCCCTACTAATTAAAAAAAAATCTGTAACTCAGTTAATTTTCAATCAATTCTATTTTTTCTTCGACTATTTAGGAGCACCTAAAAAGCACCTAATTCTGATACAAAAGAAAAATTTGAACCTAGCAGTCCCTTTAATTAGGTGCTTTTTAGATGCTCCCAAGTAGTCGAAGAAAAAATAGAATTGATTAATTATTAACTGACTTACAGATTTTTTTTAAATTATTAGGGGACTGCTGGCTTTACGTTTACTTGTTGGTGTGTCAGATTGGCAAATAAACTTCGGGATCTATATAATAATTAGGTGCTTTTTAGGTGCTAATTAGGGCTTCTAATAAAAAATTAGGTGCTCCTCTAGTTTTTGAGAAAATCAAAAAAAAAACTAAGGGACTGCTAGGTTTATGAAAGCTAGTAGCCCTCTATAGTGAAAAATATTTTTTCTAAAATTTTCTTTTGTATCAGAATTAGGTGCTTTTTAGGTGCTCCTAAATAGTCGAAGAAAAAATAGAATTGATTAATTATTAATTGAGTTACAGATTTTTTTTAATTATTAGGGGACTGCTGGCTTTACGTTTACATGTTGGTGTGTCAGCAGAATGAAAAAAAACTTCGGGATCTATATAATAATTAGGTGCTTTTTAGGTGCTAATTAGGGCCTCTAATTCAAAATTAGGTGCTCCTCTAGTTTTTGAGAAAATAAAAAAAAAAACTAAGGGATTGCTAGGTTTATGAAAGCTAGTAGTCCCCTATAGTGAAAAATATTTTTCCAAAAATTTCTTTTGTATCAGAATTAGGTGCTTTTTAGGTGCTCCTAAATAGTCGTAGAAAAAATATAATTGATTAATTATTAACTGACTTACAGATTTTTTTTTAATACTTAGGGGACTGCTGGCTTTACGTTTACATTTTGGTGTGTTAGAATGGAAAAAAACTTCGGGATCTATATAATAATTAGGTGCTTTTTTGGTCCTCTATTTTTTGAGAAAATCAATAAAAAAAATCTAAGGGACTGCTAGGTTTATGAAAGCTAGTAGTCCTCTATAGTGAATTTTTTTTTTTAATTTTCTTTTGTATCAGAATTAGGTGCTTTTCAGGTGCTCCTAAATAGTCGAAGAAAAAATAGAATTGATTAATTATTAACTGAGTTACAGATTTTTTTTTAATTATTAGGGGACTGCTAGCTTTACGTTTACTTGTTGGTGTGTCAGAATGGAAAAAAACTTCGGGGTCTATATGATAATTAGGTGCTAATTAGGGCCTCTAATTGAAAATTAAGTGCTCCTTAACTTTTTCAGGAAATCAAAAAAGACTAAGGGACTGCTAGGTTTATGAATGCTAGCAGTCCCCAATAGTATTTTTTTTTTTTTGTATCAGAATTAGGTGCTATTTAAGTGCTCCTAAATAGTCGAAGAAAAACTTGTATCAGTTAATTATTAACTGAATTACAGATTTTTTTTTATTATTAGGAAATTGTTGGCTTCACTTTTACTTGGTGATGTGTCAGAATAGAAAAAAAATTTCGTGGTCTATATAATAATAATAATTAGGGGCTTTTTAGATGCTAATTAGGGCTACTAATTAAAAATTAGGTGCTTCTTTAGTATTTGAAATAATAAAAAAAAAACAAAGGGACTGCTAGGTTAATGGAAACTAGCAGTACCCTACTAATTAAAAAAAAATATGTAACTCAGTTAATTTTCAGTCAATTCTAGTTTTTCTTCGACTATTTAGGAGCACCTAAAAAGCACCTAATTCTGATACAAAAGAAAAATTTGAACCTAGCAGTCCCTTAGTTTTTTTTTCGATTTCCTCAAAAAACTATAGGAGCACCTAATTTTTGATTAGAGGCCCTGATAAGCACCTAAAAAGCACCTATTCATTATAAAGATTTCGAAGTTTTTTTTCCATTCTGACACACCACTAGTAAACGTAAAGCCAGCAGTCCCCTAATAATTAAAAAAAAATCTGTAACTCAGTTAATAATCAATCGCTTCAATTTTTTCTTCGACTATTTAGGAGCACCTATAAAGCACCTAATTCTGATACAAAGAAGAAATTTGAAAAAAATATTTTTTACTATAGGGGACTACTAGCTTTCATAAACCTAGCAATTCCTTATTTTTTTTTTGATTTTCTCAAAAACTAGAGAAGCACCTAATTTTTAATTAGAGGCCCTAATTAGCACCTGAAAGGCACCTAAATATTATATAGATCCCGAAGTTTTTTTCCATTCTGACACACCAACAAGTAAACGTAAGGCCAGCAGTCCCCTAATAATTAAAAAAAAATCTGTAACTCAGTTAATAATTAATCAATTCTATTTTTTCTTAAACTATTTAGGAGCACCTAAAAAGCACCTGATTCTGATACAAAGAAGAAATTTGAAAAAAATATTTTTCACTATAGGGGACTACTCTTTCATAAACCTAGCAATCCCTTAGTTTTTTTTTATTTTCTCAAAAACTAGAGGAGCACCTAATTTTTAATTAGAGACCCTAATTAGCACCTAAAAAGCACCTAATTATTATATACATCCCGAAGTTTTTTTGCCATTCTGACACACCAACATGTAAACATAAAGCCAGCAGTCCTCTAATAATTAAAAAAAAATCTGTAACTCAGTTAATAATTAATCAATTCTATTTTTTCTTGGACTATTTAGGAGCACCTAAAAAGCACCTAATTCTGATACAAAGAAGAAATTTGAAAAAAATATTTTTTACTATAGGGGACTACTAGCTTTTATAAACCTAGCAGTCCCTTAGTTTTTTTTGATTTTCTCAAAAACTAAAGGAGCACCTAATTTTTAATTAGAGGCCCTAATTAGCACCTAAAAAGCACCTAATTATTATATAGTTCCCGAAGTTTTTTTCCACCTTGGGCTGCTAGGTTTATAGACCTGTCAGGATTATATAGTAATAGATAATTCAAATGCAAGGCAGATGTTTCTCTGGTGTTCCGCCTTCTTGTCGTTTTCTACCTATTGAAAACGACCATAATCTTTTTTGTGGAATATAATTTCTTGCCTCAATTAGTTTCTGGTATCTCCCAATAGGTACTGGAAAGATAACCGCAAAACATCATTTCTCCAGGGAAGAATTGCTACTAGTACCTATGCTAGTAGAAATTAAAAAAAAAAAATCTGTGCAGGCGCCTACTTAGCTTAGACTAATCATCTAGTAAGCTATATCCACTTTAACGCAAACCATCCCACTATGTAAATGTCGCTTCAATTTTGCTCATTTTTTTCTAGGTTTTCTACTACAACGTTTTTATATAATCTAATAAACCTGCAATCAGTGATCTATTTACAGAAATCTGAGGAATCAAATCAATTGAATAAAAAGTCGCCATATACACAAACCCATAAATATTGTAGCGCGAGACCCAAACGTCCCATGAAACTAAATGAGGTGCTTCTTGAGCTATAATGACGAGAATTTATGACTGAGTTATATTTCGTAGCCAGAAACTTAATTTTATTATAAATTCGAAGTGATTCGTCAGAGATAAATATTTTTTTTAATTTCCTGGATAGGGTCCTATAAAAATAAACGAATCGACAACCGTCTCTGATTAGAACTAGAATACAGGCATATCACCACATTTAAATATGTCAAAATGGATCAGTCAGAGAACGCAAAGAAACAAATCGACTCCAAAGAAATGGGCAGCGACGTTACAGAAAAACAAAAAAGATTAATGATTCAAAAACTTGAAAAATACTTCTTATGTCAAGAGGGTGCTACTGTCCGTGCTGTATAGGGTGGTTGTTGGGATACTAGCGAATAAAATATGTCTCTCCCGTAAGAAAAGCAGTGTCTCCGGTCCCATTTTTGTGTTTACTTTCATGGCAGCTCCAGCTCCATGAACTGACAAAATTAATAAACATGAGCCCTAATTTGCGTTTGCAGATTTATATTCTTGAAGCTGCTCTTTTGAATTTTAAAGACGAAAACAAAATCCATCATTTTATATGTATATTTCGAGGGCATCAACCGTCTATGAACTTTAAGTTTACTTTCAAAATTAATTTTAAGGTGGAAAATTTTCATTTACACACCACCGTACCTATTTTATTTCGCTAATCAAGTTTGCACTGCCAGAAAATTATTGATAAATAAAGTTGACTGATGATTGACAGTTGTAAAAATGAGACGATGAAGTAAGGGCTCTTTTGCTAAGGAATGTATCCAATTTAATTCTACAGTTTAGTTTTAAAGAGGTTTCCGTCGATACTATTATTATTAATATATTAAAACATATAATTCGGTGCTAAAAGATCCAGTGTAACGTCGAAAGCAGATGCGAATCGCGATAACTGAAATAAATTGCACGCGATGAACAAGCAGCGTTTCATTGTCACAAAGCTGTCGACAATAATTGTTCTAAAATATTCAAGGAAAGGCTCATTCGATTCAAAATCTCGTGGCAGTGTAAAATTGATTGGTTCTTTTCAAGTAAAATAAAAAAGCTTCACGAGCTTTTGATTTATTTATTATTCCAGATACTCAGAGAGTCCAGAAGGCCTTCTGAAAGTTATCACAACAGATTTTTTTTTAAATTTAGATTTATACAATTAGTGGTTAATGCTATTGCATTATTTGCCATTGGCGCTGGTATGACCGTTTATTTTAAAGGTAATTTTTATTTTTCGCTAATACTTCAGACTTTTCAAATTCAAATAATTTTCAGCCTATCCATCGAATATAGTAACAATAGTCAACAAAACAATTAACGTAACAGCGTTACCTATAATCATCGAAAAGAAAAGTGACAACCCTGCACCTGGAATATGTTTACCCGTCATTGTCAGATTTTGCGAACAACATCAGTTGCCTTATAACTACACGATATACCCTAATTACGTTGGACATTTTGGACAGAGAGATGCACAGATTGATTTGGAAATATACGATGCCGTTGTGGATGTACGATGTTACGAGCTAGCTGCTTTATTTTTGTGCACTATTTTCGTACCGAAATGTGGTCCAAATGGAGTGTTGGTGAGACCCTGCAAGGGAATGTGTCTGGGTGAGTCTTAAATTTAGCAGTTTTAAAGATAGTGCCATCAAAGTTTTGAATTATAAAAATATCATATGTTGAAACTCTCGCCAAATTTTCCGACGTTTTTCCAATAAAGGTCGCGACGTGTATAAGTAAACAGAAAAAAAAAAAACATAAATATTTTTGATAAAAAAACAAAAATTTCGTCTGAAATATATTTTTCTTGTGACTCGAAAATAACACACTCGAATGCGTCTTTAATTTAGTAGGTACCATTAAGAAGTCATTTCAAGAGCTTTCCAATTCGGTAGTGAGTGCTTGCCATTTAAGGATATATATTTTGATAGGGTTGCAAAGGTTGTCCATTAAGCCTTTGTGTATCTGATTTATTATCGCTATTAAAGGTATTGTTTGAAGTAATGTAAATAATTTACGCAATTAAATTCTTTTTTCAAAATAGTAGCAAACAATCATGTCATTGAAATCGTCAAAAACATAAGATCGGTGGAAAAAAGTAGTCAGGTCAATGCTGTTTTGTCTTTTTGGTTAGGCCCCTTGTATCAGTTTCTTTTATTGCTGATTTCGATAGTCAATGAAAAACAAGTCAACACGTGTTTTTTCTTGTTCTTGTTAGTCGAAAATTGACGGAGATACAACACTTTGAAATGTGCTTATGACGTCATAAGGTAAAATACCTTGTGACGTCGCACATGCCCAGTCTATCTATATACATATATGAAACTTAATATTTGTATAACTTGAATAATCATATTTGGGCAAAATAAAAAAACACGCATCGATTTTTTTCCGATTTCCTATACAGTTGGCAATAAACAATAATCAATTTAATTTTTCATGCAAGTACCCTCCTTCCCAGATAGCCAATCAGTGACCTTCAGTTCAACGTGAGGCTCCTTTCAGAACCACGCTAACCGGTTGCAGGGACCGATGACAGATTGTCGAAAACGGTTAGGTAGTTCGTATCTGCCAATTTTAGGGGCAATTAAAGGTATTTGACGAATTACTAGCGCAGCGCAGGAATTGAAATAGAATTTTCTTTGGCGTTTATCTGACCAAGTGCAGAAAATCGGCTGTGGGTCGAGAGGGATGTAGTAAAATGAACGATTTTGAGAACGATAATGTGTCCAATTATGTACTTTCAAAAGTACTTCTATAATCAGTAATTTTATATAACAGATTTGCTGTCTCCCCACGGTCGTAATTTCTATTAATTTCTCGTTCAAATTCTTCACCTTGAACTCTTGTGAAAATATTAAATTCAAAGACTCTCTCTAGTGAAATTGGAGTAAAAAAATTTTGCTCTCGACCATTTAAATAAGAAATTGTACATAAGAGTGATAACTCGTAATTATCCCTGAAGCCCCATAGGTTTTATCCTACGTTCCTATCGTCCTCAGCCGGGGTTTCTCAGCAGACCTTTCCAAAAGCAGCCGTAATCCGGACGGCAAAATTAATGATTTTCGCTGTGGCTAAGGTCACTTATACGAATCCTTAGTTGGTCTAGCCTATGCTCGATCTTCCTAATATTCCTAATGTTGGTTTGAAATCCTGTTGCACGGTGAATCGAAATATGCGAAACAAAACGTGAACGTTTAAACCTTTAAACGGTTAAGGCTTTTGTATTCTATGATTTCTATGCGTATATGCTTTAATTCCAACCATATAAATTATGAGATAAACGGAACAAGAATAATAAAAGTTCTATATTTTCGAACTTGGTCTTGTGAAATCGAATTAAAAAAAAAGATAAATGATGAGATGAGATCAATAGTTTTCTTCATAAAACGATTGAAAATCTGATCTTTATGTACCTACCGACCTAATTGGTGCAAAATAAAAAATAGAAAACATAGCAAATAGTAGTTGTATTCTTTTTACACCTAGGAGAAGCTCCGGAACAGCTCCGGGGCATTACGCGCTTATTCCTTTCGAAAAGTGTTTGTTGCACCTGAAGTGCTAATCCCGAACTCACCATTTAAATGCATGAAAGCCAGCGCATCTGTTTCTTTCAAATCGGGGTCGACTAACACCGGAGCGAGTAGCTCTAATTGTTCTAAACTCTTGAAAGGAATACAACTAATGTAAGCAAACCGTTTGAGGTGTCTGTGTATTTCTGTCATGAGCGACGTATCGTTTTAAGACATGGGTACTGTTACATAGAACTTGTGGAAATATTTTTTTTTTCTAATACCATTATTCAATCTATTTTTCTAGGAAAAATTGAATTTCTCTCCCTAGATGGATAATAAAAGTAATGAAAAAAAACCTTAGGTCAATAATGAAAATTACATTCAGAAAAAATAATTTGAGCACAGATTTCAAACCTATTTTTAATTTTCTACTCAAAAAGAAAATCTATATATTCCTCGGTAGAGAAAGTCATTATATACCTTGCGCATTATAAACCTCGGCGCTTCGCGCCTCGATTTATAAAAGCGCTCGGTATAGGGTGACAAGGAAATCGTTATACAAGGTGTCATTCAGTTGTCTTTAAAGTTAAAAATTTAAGAATCGGGTGGAATAGGTAAGTCATCGAGACGCACATTTCTCGTAAAAAAACAATTGAATATCACTTTCGGTTACTCCGGAAATGGAACCAAGTCAAAACATTTTTATGGAACCCTATATATCTTTTTACACAGTTGGATAGAGCTTAAAATTCCCTTTTCAATGACATATCACAAGTTCCATTTGTTTGCAATATGGCGGCGTAAAAAGGTACTTTCTTAAATTCAATATGGCGGCATTCTGACGTAACCGACAAATGAATATGTATTTTAGTAGACATTTTCCGGTAGGTCATTTGACACACGTTAATTCTAGGATTTAATAAGTACCTCTTCGTATTCAAAACTTTTAAAAAATTTGAATCAAAAATTTGCATTTCAAAGAAATTTTAAAATGCCCTTGTTTTTGAGCAAAACCATTTTTTTTCCAAATTCGATCTAAAACCATTCCAAATCCAAAAATTATGAATTGTTTAAACATTATCGGTTACGCCAGAATGCCGCCATATTGAATTTAAGAAAAATACCTTTTTACGTCGCCATCTTGAAAATAAATGCAACTTGTGATATGTCATTGAAAGCTCTATCCAACTGTGTAAAAAAATATATAGGGTTCTATAAAAATTTCTTGACTTGGTTCCATTTCCGGAGTAACCGGAAGTGATATTCAATTGTTTTTTTTTACAAAAAATGTGCGTCTCAATTACTTACCCGTTCTACCCGATTTTCAATTTTTTAACTTTAAAGACAACTGAATGACGCCTTGTATAAAGATTTCGTTGTCACCCGTATAATGACCAACTTCTCTACCTAGGTATAATACTATTATCTTAAAGCGGTCCATAATTTGGACCTTATTGTCGTCAACAGTCGATACAGGAGTGATCCATTATGTTCCTGGGACCATAAAAATCTTTATGTAGGTATGTGGTAATTTGTTCGATTGTTTCTCGCTAGAGGCAGCAGCATCAGCGCTATCATGTGCCTTCTTGTAATTAATTTTGCATTCAAAATTGGCACCAATTTGTTCGTTTTGAATTTTTTGTTCAATTTTAATTAATTTATTGCAAAAATTAAAGTGGGGCTAAATTTAGGACTATGTTTTTGAAGTAAAAACGGGTGTTCGGGCTAAATCTGTTTCGGAGGTTTGACAGTTCAAGTGTACAAGAACTATTCAATGTTAATCCAATTGGTTCATTCTCTGTGGTTGGGAGTAGTTGGGACGATTTTTGAATTACTAATTTTTGTTCTAACGTCGGGGTTAGATTCATTCCCAAATCACAAATTTCCATATTTATTTTTCCAAATGCACTAAACACTCCCGATGCGTTCGTGTAATGTCATTTTGATCTAAAAGAGCACATGCGTTCGGGAGTCAAAAGAGCTGACTCTGAAAGCACCACCTCGTCATTAGCAAGCGCCAAAGCGGACATGCGCAGTATGTTCGTTTTTATGATTTGGTGTCATCTATTCTATTTTTTTGTTTGCGACAATCGACCATTCGACTAATCCAAAGGCATCAATGAATTATTTCATCTGTAATTAGCTTGGCCAATAACAAAGTAAATTGCTAAATTAGTAGAAAAGACGTAGAGAAACGTCTATTTTTATTAATATTTGGTAGTTGTTAGGTTTAGGTTAAGTTAGGAAAATCCAAATGCACCCTGGCAATTCGGTTTCACTAATCTATTGTTTGCCCAGCGGATCTGAGTCTACGGAAGGAATTCGGACGTAAATGTGCGATGTTGCCACGTTTAATTATAAAAAAGCGAAAATACTGTGCATGAAGTATAGTTAATTTGAAAATCCATTTTTTAATAACAAAATATTGATAACAATAATAAAATGCTAAATATTTTAACGTGGTTGTTAGATCTATCCCTATTTTAATCCTGATTTTTTAAATTTGGACTATTGTAAAAAATAAAAATTTTCCAAAGATACCATCAGTTTTTGACAATTTGGCAAGCATCCGTCCTGGATGAACCTGATTGGTGGAGTTTTTAGCAGGATCGCCGTTGTCATGGGGAACCATACAGTTGTCAATGAGCTAACGTCACCTTACGTCTCGCTATTGGCCAGGGCTCACGTCATTTTATCCTTCCATCTTGGAATATCGATTTATATTGAAATATCTAGTGGCGGAGATTTGGTCATTGCTGATTTTCGTGTAAGAGTTGCAATACGATAACACTTCCAAAATGTTCCGCATGCAGCTGGGTATTTTATGAATGAAATCAGCCATTTTTTTTACAACTGCATTCCCCTTACCGTTGCCCCGTAGACACAGACTCGCTGGGCAGACATTAGTCCGAAAGCAGTGACCAAAGTGCGTGGTGAAAACGCTACTCCAGCTCCAGGGCCGTGGCGCCAGCTATTAGCAGTAAGTTATATGAGTAACATCATTCTGAAGCTGCGTACAGACTGGGCCAACGAACGCCAATGAATGGATTCGTTGTTCGTTCGAAGAACTTTTGTTCAGTGTGGACGGTTAAGCGA